ACAAGTGTTTATTAACAGTTGTCTACGCAAGATACTTCGGATCCGATGGCCAGACACTATCAGCAACAAGTCACTGTGGGAGACAACAAATCAGATTCCAGCGGAAGAAGAAATCAGGAGGAGGCGCTGGAAGTGGATTGGGCACACCTTGAGGAAATCACCCAATTGCGTCACAAGACAAGCCCTCACATGGAATCCTGAAGGTCAAAGGAGAAGAGGAAGACCAAAGAACACATTACGCCGTGAAATAGAGACAGACATGAGAAGAATGAACAAGAACTGGATAGAACTAGAAAAGAAGGCCTAGGACAGAGTGGGTTGGAGAAAGCTGGTCGGTGGCCTATGCTCCATTGGGAGTAACAGGCGTAAGTAAGTCGTATTTTGTTACGGTTTTGAACAGATCTCTTATCCAAGTAGGGAAATAGTTACAGTCAGAAAACCATTCCACAAGCAGAGTAGCTGGAAAAAGTAGATTATATTGGTAAATTTCCTGTTATACGCATATACGCGCGCTATTTAAAAAGGACAGTGGTATTTTTCCTCGTTGAGTAAATTCTATTGTTTTGATCGTTATTAACGTATCAAGACTACTGTTTTTATACTTTGATTGAATTTCTTTCAGTTAAAGTATTCTATTAGAGTATCATTTTTGGTATCCTAAATAGTTTTATCGTCGGTACTCCAGAGTACCTTTGTTTTTCTACTGTGTCTGCTAGTACTTTGGTCCTAACTATTTATAGTTTTTTCTACTTTTAGTCAACACTCACTTTCGCATCCTAAAATGACTGGAAGATGCAACAAAAGCATTTGCCAGCGCCCAGGATGTCGATATCCTGTTGATAGCCGCATGCAGTGCGATGAGTGCAAAGGTTGGTACCACGATGTTTGCACGAATCTAACACCTGCAGCTTTCAAGCGGTTCAGTAAAAATGGGTGCGTATGGCTATGTCAACAGTGCTGTTTGGATGCAAATAGCCTGTTAACCGAGGCCATCTCAATAGTAAATGCCGCAAAAAAGTGTCTCGGCAAGCGCGGTCAAGATACATCAGTCAGGACTCAATCTGTCGACACGCGGATTGACACAAGGCAGGCCCAAGTGAGTCCAAAAAATGCCGACCCACACTCTACAAAGGAAGAAGAACATCCTCCAAAGAGGTCTGTCAAAACCGGAAATTCGCGCAAAAAAGTCTCTTCTTTCCCTCGTATCAGAAATGGTACTTAGAAGGGAACTTCCGGAAACCGAAACCGCAAGGCTCGATCGGTTTTCAGCGCGAAAGATGACCCAATCTCCCAAGTCGTCCTAAACCTTCCGGAATCCCACAGTACGCCTGACGCGACTGTGGTTACCACTCCAAAGAACGTTGGCGATTGGGTACGGATCGTAAGAAAAAAAAAGCCAAAATGACGTAAAAGGAAATCGTACCCCCACCAAAATGGTCGACAAGCCGAGGTCTGATCACAGCGACAGATCAGTCATTCTCCATAGAGTCAAGGAGAGTGACAACTTAGAACCGAAAGCTCGTTTTGAGCATGACATTGTGTTGATAAAACAACTACTCAACCAAGTTATGCCCAAAAGCATCCCCGGAGTCACCTTGCTAAAGGTGTATAGACTAGGAAATCTAGCGCATCTGAAACCAAATCAGTCTAGACTACTCAAAGTCGTTTTCAAATCCCCAAACGAACGCGACTTAATCTTAGAAAATGGACACAAATTAAAGGGTTCAGGAGTTTTTCTCCGTAAGGACTTACCGTTGGCGGACCGTGTTAAAAGACGGGAAGCCGAAAAGGAACTACAGCTCAGATTAGACGCTGACGAAAAAGACCTTAAAATTGTAAATTTTCGGGTTGTGAGGCTTCGACAGAGGATGATGCCGAAGCCACTCTGGGTGAAGCACGAGGCCACCTAAATAGGCTTCAGATCTGTTATACCAACGCCCGGAGCTTACTAAATAAGCTACCGGAACTAGGTGTACAGATTGACTCAACTAGGCCAGACATAATCGCAGTCACAGAAACATGGCTGACGCCGTCTAGAGATAGTAGGGAACTTGATTTCGAGGGTTTTTTATTGGTAAGAGCCGATAGAACACAAACGCGTAAAGGAGGGGGAGTAGCTCTATTCATTAGGAATGCTATTCCATTCACCATTATCGACAGTGTATCCCATGAGAGTGGGACGTATGAATTAAATAGCTGCCGCCTGAAATGCAAGGGACAAGAGTTGCTGCTTAGTTTGATCTATCGCAGTCCATGCTGTGAGGCAAACGAGGTCCTGCTAAGCAGTCTCAACACTTTATCACGAAGCGATCGATGTCTAATCCCAGGGGACTTCAATGCACCCATGGTGGACTGGGGAAATCTGCGGACTTAATCGTCAGCAAACTCCTTCGAACAGGAACTAGTTGATGCGGTAATCACATGTGCCCTAGTGCAACACGTGAAGGAAGCAACTAGGTACGACCCGGGTTCTGCATCATCCTTACTAGATCTTATATTGACTCATTATGAGGATGATGTTGCAAACCTGGATTACATGCCACCCCTAGGCAAAAGTGATCATGCAGTTTTACGCTTTGACTTACATATAACTGTCGATCACGAGTACGCTTCAGCTCAATCCAGACCTAACGTCTGGAAAGCAAACATACCAGACATCATGAAATCAGCATCATTAGTAGATTGGAAATTAGATCCAGAGTCATCAATCGAAACGGCTTGGGACGTATTCCGGAATTTATACTTAAAAGTTACCACCCCCCACATCCCTTGGACTACACCTAAGAGACCGTGAAACTCCCCACCGTGGTTCAGTAGGGAGGTTCGCATCCTTCTCCGTAAAAGAAGGAAAATGTGGGACAGATTTAGGTTACTGGGGACTGACGAGGCAAAATCTCAGTATCAAAAGGCTTGAAATACCTGTGCCTCAACTCTCCGTAAGGCCAGAAAGCTGTACGAAGAGAAAATCGTTAGGGAATCCATAGAATGCCCTAAACGCTTGTATTCGTATATAAACCAAAGGACAAAAAGAAGAAGAAATGTCCCTTCACTATGGGGAGACAGTACTGCCACATCACTAGTGGAGGACGACTTCGGCAAAGCTCAAGTATTCTCTAAATACTTTGGCGATGTATACACCATAGAAACGCCCTTCTCACCAGTCCATGAAAATCCCCCCACACAAGCACTGGACAGCGTAACCATTAAAGAACTCGATGTCTCTGGTCTGCTAGTTAAGCTTGACATAGGTAAATCCACTGGACCCGATGAACTGCATCCTAGGTTACTAAAGGAATTAGCTGACTTTGCTGCGAACCCTTTAAGTGTATGTTTTAATCTATCCGTAACACAGGGTCGTCTACCAAAAGACTGGAAGAACGCCATAGTAAGTCCAGTAATCAAAACAGGTACAAAACATAAGCCTGAGAATTACCGACCAATTAGCCTAACTAGTGTGGTTGTTAAAATCATAGAAAAGATTATTCGGAAGGAACTGTTAAAGTATCTCGATGAAAACCGGATCCTCTCCGAAAAGCAGCATGGTTTTAGAACAGGTTACTCTTGTCTCACAAACTTATTAGTCGCTCGTGAAAGCTGGTGCGCTCTTAAGGACGAAAAATTACCTATAGACGTAGCTTACATCGATTTCAGCAAAGCTTTCGACAACGTTCCGCATAACCGGCTGTTATATAAGCTAAGGAATGTCGGGATTGGAGGCAATCTATTGATGTGGATAAAAGACTTCCTAGTTGGGCGTCGACAAAGAGTAAGGGTGAACTCCAAGTTGTCTAGCTGGGAAACTGTGCTTAGTGGAGTCCCCCAGGGTACAGTTTTGGGGCCAGTGTTATTCCTCCTGTACGTAAATGATCTCCCTCGTCTACTATCGTCATCGGTCTTACTCTATGCTGATGATGTCAAGATATGGAGAGCGATACAAAGCAAGGGCGATAGCTTAGAACTTCAAAATGACCTGGAGAGATTATCTGAATGGTCCCAAACCTGGCAATTGCCGATAAACACTTCCAAGTGTATTGTGATACATATTGGCCACCAGGGTACAGATACATACATGATGAATAACACTGAGTTACCTATTGTTCAGGCACACAATGACTTAGGCGTCATCGTTAGTAAAGACTTAAAGACTACTGCACACTGCCGTGCAATAGCCGCCAAAGGTTTTAGGACTTTATGGTCCATACGCAGGGCGTTTAGGCATCTTGACGCTAAAACGTTTCTGACTTTGTATACAGTGTTCGTACGCCCTAAACTTGAGTACTGCATACAAGCAGCTAGCCCCTGCCTAAAAAAAGACAGTGAACTCTTAGAAAGGGTTCAGAGAACAGCAACTAGGCTGATTCCCGGAATTGCGAAGCTCCCGTATGGTACTAGACTGACCAAGCTAAACCTATTCCCGCTGTCATATAGAGGAATCAGAGGCGACTTGATTACAGTTTTCAAATTGCTAAATGACAAATTTGCACCTGATATGCCCTCATTTTTCTTGTCTTCCAAAACAGAAAATCTACGAGGACACTCCAAAGAAGTTCACAAGCCCAGAACGAATTACTTGTCAGCTGACTACCGACTTTCCCATCGAATAATCAACGAGTGGAATTCATTACCTCAGCACGTGGTTGAGGCTCCATCCGTCGACTCCTTCAAAAGAAAGTTGGATCAGCTGAGAGACCATCATTGCCAGGACTAACACAGGCCATCAAGCCTCCTGTCCTTTCCAAACTGAAACTGAAACTGTTAGCACTTCGATAATCCTGATTACCTTGATTACTTGACATCAAACAACTACATTATCGTTTAGAGTAGGGAGATAAGTGCGTTATACCTAAAATGTCAACCTTCAACAAAACAATTGCTTAATAGTATTCGTTTGTCAAGCTTCTCAAGTTTTTAAAAATTGCACATTGTTTTGTAGGCATCTTTGTTTTACTGCAGCAAAGGGTTATACAATCAGACTAAAGATCTATTTCAAGTCGTACGCTATGGCTGACGCTGGGAAGATACTAGAGGATATCGACGGTTTTGACAAACAGAAGTTACGGCATGTTGAAACTGAAGAGAAAGTTGTGTTGCCAAACAAAGAAGGTTAGAACCAAGAGTTGCTGTTTTTGCCTTTATAATATCTGCCCATGTAATTGTGTTCGCAGTTTGGCACTCCCTCACTATCGCTTGTATCAATTCACGACCAAGATAAGATATTCTTTTAATCACATTATGGTGTTTTTTTGTCTATAAGAAATGATTCAACTACTTCAGAACTGAATTCAGCATTTTGTTTGTGAGTAATTAATCTCAAGTTCAGCTTAGCTGCTATTGAGTTGAAAATCCCTACTCTATTGTTGCTCAATCTTATTATTAAATGATCGTGTTACCAACTTTTTTTTGTCACTTAAACTGACTGCGTGTATGCTTCCCATTTTCTGAAGTCCTGACTGGTAACTGTTGCCATGATAATCCGTAAACTTTATCAGGTTCTGACCTGACCAATCAGTGCAAATCGTATTCACTCAAGCTATATGCGGATTAGCATTCTTGTTGACCAACTGCTAAGCCTCATTTTGGACATTAAATAGTACTGCTCATTACAGTAAAAGACTACACAGATATATGGTCAAGGAAGTACGGTCGACAACTTGAAAAGCTACTTCAAGACTTGTAGGATAAAACGATACTGCCCTGCTGTTTATTTTAAAGAGACAGTTGACACCTGACCACATCTCAAAAATACACAGCCAGCAACGTGACATAGGCGACAAATATTTCTCTCATAGCATGTTGCCAAATGTAAATATTAAGGGAAATATATACCCAAACTCATGAGATGTTCAAGCACTTCACGAATCAGGATGCACTTCTTTGTCGTAATCTTACTTTATTGTTTGTCTTTCAATCGTGATATGTACGTACAACAAAGCTTACCAATGGGACGTTTTGCCTCGTTACATAATTCGATAATGAAGCAACACAAGATTAGTAACCCAACTTCAAACCAATAATTTTGTTTGTCCTTTCTTTGCAGTTATTGAAAAGGAGAAAACTGAGAAACAGCTTCTACAAGAGATCGAAACACCACATTCTTTGAAACGTACTTCAACAAAAGAAAAGAACCCTCTTCCTACCAAGGAAGGTAAGACACTTCCATGGGACTTACTGAAATTGCATTCTGACCACAAAGTTTTGTGTAACAGTTCACTAAAACCCTTTTGTTTTTCGTTTTAGACATTGCTGCAGAAAAAGCTATCCACTGATCACCGATAAATGTTTCGCACATGTAATCTGCGCCTTTCCCGAATCAGAACGTCTTTATTCTTTGCAGTTTTCTTATTCGAAGCTTTCTGCATCATCATCTTAATTACTATAATACTATAAATTTCTATACTAAAAGACCTGTTGTTTTATTGAAAATATACCTGTACGTGACTTGATTTCTACGGATCATAGCAAAAGTATGGCATTTCATATCTTGGCTTATAAACTTAGGAATCACCACTTCAGACATCTGATCCCTATTTAAGCAGTATCACCCCTTAAATCCAGAAATTCATTTCCTTATGTGGCATTTTGACACTTGTTTGTACCGTCATAAATTAACTGGTAACTTAAAGTGTATATTTTATGCGGTATCTAAGTAATTGCCTAACTTCGTCCTAACTGGATCAAGTAGTTTTTATTAGTGACTTTGTTACGCTTGCTGATTTTTGTTGATCGGACTTGGTGAACTGTTTTAAGGATTGTGGCTACCTGTACTCGCTTCGGCGGTACATATACTTAAATTGTTTACCTTCGTGACCATTGATAAATCTAGTACACTTTCGGCTTTCCTTTAGTGCACGTTTATAATTTACTACAAGTATACGTCTTGTCATTTATGTGGCGGGTTTTTTATGTGAAAATCTAAATGCGTTATAAAGCCATTGGGATGTCTAGTTTTGTCAATCAACTCACAGCTTTGTGCGCTTGAAAAAAGTAGCATGCAATGGTGCTTCTTCAATATATCTCTAACATTCGTGTTGCATTTTAGCAGGTACCCGCATACGCAGAGCAATCCGAACATTGGTAGACTTATATTTGTATGGTAGTCGAATCTCGTGGTGCTGGAGGCATGTTGTTCCAAGTTGGCTTGTAATCACGGTTGTAGCGAAATCCAACAAAACTAGATCCGCATGCGAATTTGGCACGAATAGCTATTGCGGCCCGTCTTTTCTCATTTATCATTTCAAGTAGCTAACATGTACTGGTTAGCTGAAGGTCGTGAATGTTTCATCAGTCGACATGGTGTCCCCAATATTCTGAAAAGTCCTCAAATATGGGTGATGTGCGGTGCCCCTTTCTTAGTGGGAGTTTCGCCATCGTTGTTTCTGGGGTCTTTCAGATCAAGCTAACATCAACGTCGTGATGTACCAGTGTCTTTGATGATAATGGTTTCCTATGTAGGGACCGTGGGGTAATAGAAAGACGTACTTATGGTTTGGGAAGACGCTGTCAACATTAAAATATTATGTACAGGGAGACTCGATGACTAGGTCCAGACACCCCTGTGTTTTGCTCCGTGGTCACTCGTCCAGAGTTGTGGAATAGCTTATTTCGTGAGCCCTCCACCGCGTCATAGTCAATGTTGGCGCCCGCACACTGACATCACTAATTTCCCTTCCGAATATTAGTCAGTTTTTCTGGGGATGTTACCGAATCTCCTTGACCGCCTCGATCTGCTTATGCAATCAGTTTCAACGATTTGAGCTTGGGGAACGTCATTCTTTGTCTTCTGAAACAACCCTGCGGACTTCATATTGACGTTATAAACATTTAAGACTCCTACCAAGTCAGACGGCAGGCCTCTAACATGAGTTGTAAGATACTATGCTGAGCTCATGCTTCACTCTTGGAACCGGCGTAGTTGTGGTGTGGTCTACTTATATCTATATAAGTAGTATATGGTGTGGGTCAGACATAGAATGTATTTTGGCGGAAGACCGATGAGTAAAGAACTGAAATGAAGCGCAATCGTTTGGAAAATGCATGAGCAATGGAATAAGAGAAGAAACAGTGAAGATGGAAACAATTGGTTGTTAGTTTGCAAGTTGACTGTTCATTGTTTGGTTATCAGAATTTACTGAGATAGTCTGTAATCTTTGCTTAAATACATTCGATTGTCCCCAACCAGTGTTCTGTTCACTACATAGTGTTATCACGTTTGGGAGTTGGGAATAGTCTCGGTCGCTGGTTGTTCCAGTTCGTAAGGAAAGACCAAAGTACTGTTGTGGTAACCAACGGAGGATCAGTATGTTAGATGTAATGCCTTAAAGATTAGTATTAGTGATCACTTAACGCCTAAATAAGGCTCGTAAAAAGCAAACCCGAGAAAACCGGACTAATTTGGTATTTGGACGTGTGTGTGTGGACCGGATGCACGCACCTCATCAGGTTTTGGAAAGATATACGTGCCGACTACCAGACAAACTTGTATTCATCACTATGTGATTGTGGAGGTTGTTAAGTTTTCGGTTGTGACCATGAGTTGGTCGATGTTGAACCACCACTGAAAACCCAGGGGCACTGGACGGCCGTCCCGTGCTAGTATGAGAATCCTCAGCAATGCATATCCATGACCCCGCACATGGGGTTCGAACCCAGGACCATGTGCTCACTAGTGACTGGCTTCGTGAGGGAATTCTCGGAGGTCTAGTGAGAAGCTGTGACCAGTGGAGCTAATCCGTGTCAAATAGAGACAGTTATCCACCTCAGACAATGTGAGATGGTCGTGCAATCTCGTGGATTGGTTAACGCTAGACATTAAAACCACTGGATGCTGGCTTGGTGGTCTACAGGTTAAGCGTTCGCTAGCGAGACCGAAGGTCCTGGGCTCGAATCCCGTGTGCAGGATCGTAGACCCACGCTACTGAAGAGTCCCGTGCTGGGGCGAAACGGCCGTCAAGTGCTTTCAGGTTCTCATTGGTGGTTAAGCACCGATCGCTTTGTGATGTCAATCAAAAGCTTGCGTCTCTTGACCCAAAGGTGGCTTTTGACTCTGAGTCGACGCGTTTTATGCCAGTGTCTGTCGATGAATCGCGTGCCGTAGAATGCACTAGAACATCACTGGTCGATTCAGTGCCTACGGTGGATTGTCATTGGAATTGATGGTCACGTGTTCGTCGGGGTTGTCCACTCCTTGGTGGTTTGTCTCCTCCTAGACGATCCGTTGACAAAAATGCAGTCTCCTGAACTTACTAAACAACAATGCTGACATGTCTGAGGAGACGTGTTCTCATAAATTTAAACTGTTGTTTCCTGGTCAGTCTATGTCAACGCCCGAACTAATGATAGTGAAGTAGTTGAGTTGGCCAACCGCCTCATTCACCTTGAAAGTTTCATCAGCCATGATGAGATAGTGTCTCGCGAAATCTCAGTACGAATTCGGAAAACCTAGTAGTATTTTACCAACTCACGTCAATTATGGTGTAGGCGAGATATTCGTCTGTCAACCAAAGGACGAAGATACTGTGCAGCAGTTCATTCAGTTCCGCTCCATGGGTGCGAAATGTGCTTTTCAGAAATAGAAGACATTTGTAGACCGATGGTATTCGATCATAGATGTGTTCAAAACATTGCTCGTGCATTCTGGAACCATTGATTTAACAAATTAGAGGTTAGACAGACACTGAGTACTGGCTAGGTATGGTAAGTCGGTTGACGAGGTAACTAAATTATACTGATTGAGATGGTGAGGACGTATATTGCTTGTGCTCAGCAGCCAACAACCTCGAAGGATTATACCTGGTGTAGGGGTAAACTGGAAGAAAGCTCACGGAGGCCAAACCAAAACGTGACATCAGTTCATGAAGACACTGATATGGAACTGTGCCATCTAGGTAGGTCCAGATTACTTGGCTGATATCAGAATAATTATCGTATCCATTCGTTACAAACTTTAGGTGATATAGCTCAAAACCGTTTCGAGGGGTGTGGGTGAATTCACTCTTAATTGCTACTAACTTTTTATCATCTCACTAATTTAAATATTATTGAGTCACGCTTTCGACATCTAGGTTTTTTATTACCGGTAATACATTCAGGCAGGCAGATGTCTATATAGTTTTATAAAAGGCAAGAATATCTCAGTTGGTAAAGCGTAATGGATACAGTCCTATGATGAATCAAACTTCTACAATATCATGTCCCAAATGAATGAGATATTTTAATAATTAGGTCTGTGGTTTGACAACTGTAATATACACAAAAGGCATTGACATCTCTAGTTCGATTATTGGCAGAACCATATCCTCACTGTTTGTATGATAGCTCTCATGAATAGTTCGAATATAAACGATCTAATTGACTTTCTTATGATCTATTTGTATACCTGACCAATTAATTGGAAACATGCTCTACAATGTCCATAAAATATGGTCATTCCACTTTTGTCTGCTAGGAGAAGTATCCGTCTTTGATGATTATTTGTGATATGGTATCTGTTATGAATTTAAAAAATAAAGAAGGCCGTATCCAATTCGTTATTGATTTTATGTTCGGCTTTTTATCACGTGATTTATCCATCAATCGAAATACGACCTTTCTAATCGTAATACTGTGCCAATCAATGACGTTCAGCTGGTATGAGCAGTCTAGCGTCTTTATTAGTCCCTTGTCCGCCTAACCCTTTCGATAGAGTCCAGAAGACCAATTACAGCTTCTGTTATGCGAATCGTTTATTTCAAACATACTAGGTTTATATACCAGACAGACAGACCTCATCACCTGTAAAATAGAAAATAATGTTTGTACAAGATCAAGCCAAATGTGGCTGTGAACGTTGGATACAATAATCAATAAACTGAATATAATTTGGGAACATTAGATCGTGCAATAATAATTCATAGGTCAAAATGAAGCTTGTAATAAGATGAATATAGATATACATAATCTAATTACCCAATAGTTAAACCATAAGAATATATATAGAATAACCGTCCATTAATAGGTTCCGGAAATTACCCCTACATATGTTTTCGCTAGGATATAACAGTATCTAAGGCAGAAATTAAGGTTTTTTCATCGTCCGACTGCTGAGTTAAATTAAGTCGATACCACACTTAATTTCATGGGTGCCGTTTACTGAATAAAGAATAAATGGTTAGTCATATGTAACGTTGATAAGAGCTAAAAGAAATACAAGCAATGAAACGTATATAAAAGTGCATTTTGTATTTGGACACTAATTCTTCGGTATCGTAATACAGAAGTGACTAAATGA